TGTCTTCGGTCTCATACGAGAGAGCCGCTGTGAAACGATGTATGCTCTTTGATTTTTCAGCGCGACTTAACAGCTAATATATCTCGCCAGTTTAGGGACTGGAAAGGTCGCAAGGGTTAGTGATCTCTCAGAGAAGCTTCTATTGAAGGTAAATAGTATAGCGACGGACACTGAGACAGATTGTGATCCTGCGGGAGAGAGGAGAGGCACTGAGAGGTAGAAACTCTGCTAATTGCCATGTGTATCACTACTAACATCGTAATAACATAGTAATCTACGAACATTTCACGCGATCTAAGGTCTATTGCTAGATATCATTCCGGTTATACGTCTTATATTGCACTACACTTACAAGACGTTGCTAGCGTTCACCGACTAGTTAACGTTCACGAAAACTCTGAATATCTCGAGTCGCTAAATTCCCCGAAACTCTCTGTGCCACTAATCCTACTCTCTCTCAAAGGCGTGAGTATTCCAGAAATTCGACGATTCAGTGATTGATACATCGATAATATGCAAATTGTCAAGCCATAATTAAAATGGTACAAAAACTATAAATATTTAACTGTTAGTCGGTAACAATCCACCCGTGACCACTATGCATGAACAAATGAAGAAGAAATAAAAAAGAAGGAGAAGTCTAGAGTACAAGACAATGTGAGGAGGATAGAAGAAAGCTTTTGAATTTTGGACCATATATTATATACATATTTATAATAGTAATGAGTGGTAACATTTTTTAGTACAATATATATTTTATTTAACATTATTGAAGCTAGCAAATAGTATAGGATTTATTAAAAAGTGCTCCTATTGTACTGTTTTTTATAGTTATTGATAATAGGTTTAGATACTATGATGCCTAATTATTATAATAACATACCTATTATGTACAGTACATTTTTATGAAGTACAGGATAAGGTAAGCCCCTTATAAATGTGGAATATCATTACTTATATAATTCCTTAATATATATAAAAATATCGTGAATTCGTGTGATGTAATACCGATGTGGCAAAAATAGACGGAGTATCGAGAGATTAACTGAAATTGATTCCTGTTTCTAGCGCTGCATGTGATCTTCTAGGAGGTAGCAAAAAGATTACTACAAGGAGATCAGAGAAAAGAGTGTGACTATTGAGTCAGAAAGTGTAGCATCCTGAGGTATCACAGACATGCGGCTGAGAATGATGAGACGCGAGAGCTGTGCATCTCCTCCCAGTTTATTTTTGAGAGTGGAACATGCCTGTCATTGAGTGAAGTAAAGACCTCATCGAACTGTCCACGCATTGGACTCTATGTTATAGATAGTGAGCGAAAGAGACCGATGAGGTTCTTTTCAGGAAGATCGTCTTCACAAGATGAGTAAATGCCCGATTATGGAAGCTGATAGCCAGTGATTGCGTGAGGGGATATTGAAAGTCAAGTAGGTGTAAACAAAATTCTCATTGTGTTACGTCTGTGTGCGGGAACGTGCTGATAAATATTAGAATAATTATTTGGGTAGTTAAATCGTAGAATGAAACGTGATGAGTTGGGAAAACTATCGTAGACAAATACATATCGGGAAATATCACAGAGATAATAGACATATGAATGTGATAGACAGATCTGTGTTTGTCGATTGGGGAAAAGCTGAAAGAGTCAAAAAGGCTATGCGGCCTTTATGTCTATAGTGCATGAGGATACTGGTGTAACAAGATTCACACTCTTCTGAGGTCTATCACTATTGATTTCTCTCCAAAATATATGCATTAGGGGCCTGCATGTATTTTAAAATCTACATGCCTTTTTTGGCTGCGTACATTACAGTTTTCTATGTAGATACTTCTATACCGTCCTTTTTAGCTCAGGCGTGGCTCGAACCAAAGAGTGAACTCAACACTCACCAGGAGTTTTATATCCGAGTGTCTGAGAATGTTGTGAGAAACCGGAGGTTGTGATGGTCCTCTCAGTGTGCGACGGTAGATCACAATAGGACAGTTTTCTAGACAAATGTCTCAGTGGCTTCGTGATCCTATTTGCTAACCAAGCGGTTCTAGTTTATTGTATATTTCGTTGTCGGAAACAGCACTTAACACTTAGAGGTGAACGTAGCTGAGAGTGTGGCGTACGATGTGTTTCAAATACAGAATATCCGAGAATTTGTAATACATTTAAGTGAAAATATTTAACTACACGTGGTTATAAATGACTCTTTAAGTAATTATCAGTTTTCAATTTGACGCTTATTTGCTGATGTAAGTGAAATGTAAAACGGATTTCAACATTCGAGTCACATTCTATGTGTCTGGAACACAATTTGTTTTATCCTGTAGTTATATAACGAAGAGTGCTGAAGGATGAAAAAAATCTGAGTGAGAAAACAGTAAATAAGGAAGTATACAAACCAAAAACAAATACTCGTCATTCCGAGTTGCGCATACCTAATTTTAGATTTATTTGTATTTAAAAAACCTTGTAGTTCAGAAGGTAAATGGCCCTCCAACAAGGAGATTACTAGCAATATAATTTACAATCAGATCACTCTCACTTACATCATAGTATGTATCTTTATTCGTAGGAGATGTATACTATCGGGGCAAAGTTGAAAATTCAATCGTAGCATATTCTTTCTCTATAGTGTCAAATAGATATAATTGATAAACACTAGTGCGAAGGTGTCAGATTAGACAAACAAATATTATAGCGAACTAGCAATGGCCTTTGAATT